CATTCCTACCAGCGTCCAACAGTCATTATATTTCTTGACCTAAAGGCGGCATTCGACTCTGTCGATCGAGAAGTTCTCTGGAGATGCTTGGCTGGAAAGGGAATTCCAAGAAAATATATTGCACTGATTAAGGCACTCTACTCGTACTCATGCAGCCCAGCCAGTTGAGGGCTTATGGCGAGCTGTCATCTGAACTGGTGACGACTAGTGGTGTCCGTCAGCCACGGATGCCCATTATCCCCTTTTCTGCTCAACTTCATCATAGATGTGTTAATGGACTTAACCCTAAGTGATTTCAGCGACTCAGGGAATGACTTGCTACCAGGGAATAATCTCGTTGACTTGGAATATGCAGACGATATAGTCCTTCTAGGCGAAGACGCTGACAAAATGCAGTGTCTTCTAAACACCTTCAGCTGCAATCTACAAAGGTTTGGCATGCAATTCGCTCCCTCTGTGAAATGCAAGATGATGTTACAGGACTGGACTACATCGACGCCTAGTTTAAAAATAGGAAGTGAAGTGGTAGAACACGTTGACCGCTTCACTTATTTGGGAAGTACCATAAGCCAGTGACAAAGGGTTGATCTCTGACGAAATCTCAGCACGAATACAGGGGGTTCGTTTCGCATTTGCCAGTTTATGCCGACTCTGGCGTAGACGAGATGTTCGCCTATCGACCAAAGGGCGGGTGTACTGATCATCAGTTCGCTCCTTCCTCCTTTATGGTTGTGAGCGAGACCCGGCCACTGAGAGTGGAGGACATGAAAAGACTGGCTGTCTTTGATCATAGGTGCCTGCGTTCTATTTCCCGTGTAAAGTGGCATAATAAGGTGAGCAACATGGAGGTTAGGCGTCGACTTCTAGGTAAACAGGGGAAATCAATCGACGAAGTCGTGAAGTGACAAAGACTGAGATGGTTAGGACATGTGTTACGTATGCCTGGTCATCGTCTTCCTCGACGAGCAATGTTGGCGGATATTGGGTCAGGCTGGGAAAGAGCTAGACAGCGGTGGTCAAACAAAAACTTGGCCTCACCAGTCAATGAAATCCACAACAGTTGGTCTAAGCCACGTAGGAAGGTGTAGACTTCCTGACTGGCTGGGGTCCTCGTGACGGTAAAAATCAATGGTTGGAAACAATTGGTGACATGGCTCAAAACCGTTCTCAGTGGCGCAGATGCATCCACTCCCTGTGACTTATGGTCTTCAATGAAACTGTTTTGTTCTTCGTTATTAATCCTTTGTCTCACACCACTGCTCACTGTCTCTAATATGCTTTTCTTGTACTTCTTCTTTTGCTTCGCGTGCTACACGGAGTGTGGCGACTTGAACTTCCGCACATTTGTGCGAAGTTCTATGTCGAAAACAGACAGAGACAGACAGACAGTTCCAAATAGGCAGAAACACATGTCTTCCTTGATTCTACTACCAGTCAGCACTAGCTAAGTAATATACCATGAATTCTGGTAGATGTAACTTAAAGAGTGATCAATTCACAAACAATATGCATCATTAGTTTTCATGACAGTGATAACTAAGCAATTATTATTAACAACAGCATTTCTGCTTTAGATTACATTAAATCAATAGTATTGACAGATAACAGTACACTAGAGCTTCAGTGAGAGATGATATGCATTATTATAACACCAGACTGGCTGTATATCAGATAAAAAACGGAAGTAAAACAGAATATAAAAATTTATAAGTTCGAGAGCAGACCAGGATATCAATAGTGGCTAGCTGGACCTGTTTCTTTTGGACACAAAGCAGGGCACTGGTTCATCTAAAGTAACTGCGATGGTCTATGCTGTTTTGAAGTGTTCTGTATCTAGAGGCTCGATAGTTGATTGAGTAAGGCATATTAATGCTAGGTGTGTGACCTATTTAGATGAGGTGACTTAATATGCAACCGTTGATGATTTAACAAAACATTTATTCAGTTAACTTCACTGGTAGGTGTTCTGAAGCACCAAAAATTTGGTTCCTAGGTCATAGACCAATATAACTGGCTCCACATGAGGAGCATTTGGATCGAAAGATATAACTGAAGGTGACTAGTCTAGGTACTTTACCTTTCAATTCCAGAATCATTCTTTGAATCAGTTTCTTTGAACTGCCATATCACCTCTGGGTTGTATTCGTGTACACAAACAGGGGCTTCTTTCTATCAGATAGAGAAGAATTCTGTTATACTTTCTTGTCTATGTGTTTAGTGATAAACTTTTTTTGGGGTGGCTGTCCCTAATTCGAGTGTCGTATACATCCTTAAGTTCGTCTGCAATTGTATTTTCTGATGAAATAACTGTGACCCTATAGATGAGGGTCTTTGAAAAATTTCCTTTATACCTAAGAGGAACAAAACTGTGACTTGCTCAAGTACTTTTATTCCGCAAATTCATTTCTATGCTACCGTCTGTTCACCTTGTCAGTAGGACATCTAAAAGCGAAATTTTACTTCTGGATTCTTCTTCCTAGCCGGCATACTTCTAAACCTCGCTAATCTGATTTAAATACCAGTGAAGAGGGAAGGTTGACCATGAGGCTAGCAATCCCACTCTGTCAAAATAAAAATCCACTGCTATCGAAACTTAAAAGGCATAGCTTGAAGCCTCATGTTTCACTCAGGACGTGTGGAAATAAAATAAAATTTTAAACAAAATTCTTCTTCACATATGATTTTGAAAACTGTGAATGTACTTCATTGGTCTGACATATTATTGTATTGCTGTCTAGAACATTTCCACAAAGAGTGAAGGCATTATCTATATACTGGCGATAAAATGAGAATTTTCTGTTGACGTTGTTCAAAGAACCATTTTCATTTAGTTCACTCAGAGAGAGAGACAGAGAGAGGGAGAGCAATCTGCTAACATGAAACCCAAGGGAGAGTCCACTGCTGCAGTCCATTCACCTGTCTTTACAGTTTACCGTGAAATTAAAAAAAATTGCATTCGTGGTAAAATTAAGTGACAATTCTTTTAGGATTTCTGTCAACAGCATTGATTCAATGTAATTTATAACAGAATTAGTGTTGTTAAACATGAATTAGCAGAAGTTGTAATTCATGGGCTGGCCATTGGATCGAGCCCCAGTGGCTTGGTAGTCTACGAGCTCGTTTATAACCAGAAGGCCCTGCGTTTGAACTCCTATGGTGGGTGCATGCTGATCACGAGTCCCAAGAGACTAGGACGAGACATCTGTCTAGTACTCCTCACAAGTTTTCCAGTGGTTCTCTAACTGATGTCAGAGTATAATGAAATCCTCCAACCAATTAAAAGAAAAATCCCTACTAGAAAATCACAATATTTCTTGAATTATTGCTGTCATCTAAAAATATAGAACTTGATAACGAACTTATCGAAAAAATAAGGTTTCTTTGTTCATTAATCAGTCTTTCACATTTTTTTTAAATTTTATGCACATCTTCATTGAATTAAAGTATAACTTAGACTTGTTTATGCATACTGTATTACTGATAAGTTCACTGAGTTTGTTGAATACTGTATCAAGAAATTTTGAAAAAAAAACAAGATCTCGTTAGCTCAGATGATGATACCCATTAGTGCTTTTTATCTCATGTGCACAAAAACAAATTCATCAATCATGAAAACGTTAAATTGGGTTAAGGTAAAAAGGGATTTGATCACTGACAGAATGGTACATATATATAAGGCATATATAATTGCGAAAGGTGAATGTTAGAATATAGTGGTAAAGCTATGAATATCACAAATGCTTATAACATTTTATTAATAATCATTTGGTGTCATCTGATCCACGTTTAACAAACTGTAATGATTACCTTATTTCTGAAAGGTTTTATCTTCTAAAATACTCATGATTCATAATCTACTTTGTGCCATATGTATAATTCAATATCAATTCATGAATTAGTAGAAGTTAAAGCTCATTGGCTAGCCATTAAGAAATCGGGTCCCAGTTATTGAATAATCTATGAGATTTACTTGGAATAGGAAAGTCACAGGTTTGAATCCCATTAGTTGTGTAGTGCCGATGAATTTCAAACGAGGAAGAAAACTGCTGTCCTTTATTGGATAGTGATTTTCCATACTTCTCTAACTGATATCATCTAATCCTTGGTTAAACTTCAGGCGAATGAAATACCTACAAACTAACAAACTAATTCATGAATATCAATCTGATGGTTTTTAGTGACTTGTTGGTTACAGACTTGAGCGACTAATGGGGTCCACCACTATGTCGGAGGTGAGGAAAAACCAAATCAAATCCCTGAAAACTAACACTTAAATGTCGATCTTATGGTCACTAGTGACTGACCTTATTCAGATGAGTTGTTACCTGATTTTTAGTAGGAGCTCGTGACCGGCAGGCTACAGCAGGTCTAGCTAGTATGAGAACACACACTCGCCGATGACATTGGTAAGTGGTTGCACAGGCTGGAATTCATCAGTTGGCCATTAGACTGGGTCACAGTGGCTCAAACGGTCTACGAGCTCGCCTTTTAACCTGGAGGTTTCGGGTTCGAACGCTGGAAGTAGGTGCATACTGTCAAGAGCCCCAAAACATGATGAAACGGGTGTCCGTCACTCAAATCTTTGTTCGCAGGGTTCTAGTTGATTTCGTTTTGGACCGCTAACAGTTTTACATAAGTAAAAAGGACAGCCAGAAAACAAATGAGAAATGGATACGTATACTGTACTACTTTTGGACTTTTCCACGCTACTCATCCATTGATCCGATCACTAAGGATCGAACTCAGCAAGTTCAAGTTACAAGGCAAGCTCGCTGGACGTTCTTATGCTTACAAATGACTGACAAAGAGATAACATTGTCTGAGGTTCTGGTTAGAAATCACGCGTAGTGAGGTTAAGCCAAGTTCGATATGAGGTAAGATAACCGCCGACGGAATACATAAGATGGCAATGCTACTACACTGCAAACTGAATAAAACTCGAGTATTACTTAGATATTATATAGTTTTGAATCTCTTGTTTTTCTTCTATTTACCTTTAGAAATTCTACTTTACGAGAAAAGAATGAAAAATTAGAGGAAGAAATGGCCCGCCTAAAGGAGGATAACTCAAAAGTATGTTGAATCTATTACTGTTTTCGTTCTGATTGTTCTTATTTGAATTATGCCATAATTTTTTTTGATAAATTTATTACCTTAATGCATTTAATCTACGCTAAGATGATTTATCAGTTAGATGTTTTCTAAAAGTTGAAAAAACTTTAGCTAGAAATCTGCATTTTCCTTATGATTTACAGTTTCGCTGAGATTCAAATATTTTAACACCACGTTGGACCCTCAGACACTGTGACCATGACTATTGCTTGATTCAGCCAAAATCATTTTACGACAACTATCTGTTACTCTAGCCTGAACTACTTAAACGAGAGCACACACAACGACATGAGCCTGAGAAGTATGCGTATGATTCAAAATATCATCATGGATATGTCACTTGGTCTGTGATCATGATCAATAAAACAGTGGGCATTATTTGACGTAGGCCAAATTCTGATTGCTTTATTTTCCAGACTGGACATCAACCACCTCATCAGATTCTACTCTAATCTCTTCCAGTAATTCATACTGTTGAGTAGTATGATTCGAATAGTGCTTCGGTGACACAGCGGTAGAATGTCTACCAGCCACGTATGTCGTCCGGGATTCGATCCCCGGCCACAGACGCGCTCCTAAACCTCACTAAGCCAGTAATAAGACAGGTATGGACATGAAGCTAGCAACCACATCTCGTAAAAATAAATACCACTGCTATCGAAACTTCAAGCTTCTAGCTTGAAGCTGCCCTATGTTCCACTGGGAACGTAAAGGAATAAAAGAATGAGTTGAATAAGTAACTATCTCAAATATCCCAGTGCAGTGTGCTTATTTGCAGGAGTGAAAAGTCTACAGAGTGTAGTGCAATGCAAAATACATTTAGCATAACAATAGATTACACAATAAGAATTAATCGACTGTCTTTCTCAGGGTATCGGATAGCGACAGATGATTTGATCGAGCGAAGAAATATTTACATTTCAATCAGATCCTCATCTTTGGCTCTACTCTAATATATATATATATATATATATATATATATATATATATATATATATATATATAGCATTTTGATTACAATACAACAGTTTGCCAATCAAGTGGCGATAAGTTTGTTAACAATAATTAAACAGTGTCAATGGGTTAATAGTTAACGAAGAAAATCAATACAGATTTAAAAGGTGGAAATGGATAGAATAAATTAATTTTACAAGAATAACACGTAAATTAAAGATGAAGTGGTCAAAATAAATAAAATAAAATAAATAATTTAGACAAATATAATTTTATAGGTTTTGGGGGAGGGGGGTGACGCAGTCCTGTTTATCCATTCTTGTGACGATGGCCACGGTAGGGAAAGTGGCTGTACAAATTTTTTCTGTACACATAGGCTTGGCTTCTTCAGATGAATGCCAATCGCCTCAGCCGTCTGTAGAAGACGAACTCGCAAAGCAAAATTAAGATAAGTTGGAATGCGATAAATAATTTTAAATGCTGTATTAACATCAATCTTATGCTCAGTATCAACGAGGTGGGCTAAAATAGAGCTACGAATAGATATTTTTTGTCCCTTACTTAACCACGTTGGATGATGTTCGGAAATACGACGATGAACTTGCCTAATTGTACGCCCAATGTAGCTGGCTCCGCAGCTGCAGTCAAACTGGTAGATACACATAGGGGAGGCGAATTTAGGTAGTTTATCCTTATTTCTCGAACATAAAATAGGTGTGGTTGTAAAGAGACAACGTACCTCTGCTGCATAATAAGTTCTTTTAACTGCATTCTTCAGGCGCTGTGTTATTAATTCGCTGATGTTGTCACCGAGGAACTGCAATTTTATGAACATTGGTTTTTTCGGGACTGTGGCCATACTGACTCTCTTTGGAGCTGAATTTATATTTTTCTCAATGAATTTATCTGGATAGCCATTTTTTCTAAGTAATTCTCTAATAATCTTAAGCTCCTCATTGAGGCAGTCGTCTGAACAGATTAACCTAGCTCTATGAGCCAGACACTTCACGAGGTTACGTTTATATTTCAAAGGTACAAAACTCAAAAAATGAGTGTACTGACCTGTTGTTGTAGGCTTCCTATACACACTTCTTCTTAGTGTGCCATCTTCTCTCCTTACCATGAAGACGTCTAGGAATGAGATACTGTCATTACTTTCTTTCTCTATGGTAAAGTTTATCGCTGAATGTGCATCATTAAACTTGTCAAGGATGTTCATTGCATCATTCTCATCTTTCATAATCACAAATGTATCATCCATATATCGACAATAGAAATCCATGTCATTAATTACTCCTTTCAGTGGTCCATTCTCTAATTTAGCGAGGAAAAAATCAGCTAGGATTGGACCTAATGGGGAACCCATAGCCACACCATCAATTTGTCTGTAATATTCTTTATTGAATAAGAAATGAACATTCATTGTACATCTTAAAATAAGTTCCTTCAAGGTGGATACAGAAATCCCGATATCTATGTTTCGTGTAGTAATCTCCTCACATATAAAATCCACTGTCTCCATTAACGGTACATTGGTGAACAAGGAGGATACATCAAAAGATATCATAAACTTGTCCCTCACATTAAGATCTCTTATTTTTTCAACAAATTCAAAACTACTGTTTACGTATTGTTTTACCGATTCATTATGCAGAGGTTTCAGGATCTTCACTAACCATTTTGCTGTCGCGTCATATGGGGAATTACACATGTCTAACGCTGATCGAAGTGGTAAACCAATTTTATGCACTTTTGCTGGTCCATATAATCTTGATGTAACCATGCCAGTAGGCTTTAGGGATTCATATAAACCTTCTCTGATGCTACTTTGTTGTTTAAGTCTTTTTAGTGACTCAATTAGTTGTTTCTCCACTTTTTCTCTCGGAACAGTGGATGATGTAATTTTTTGAAATTTTCGATGATCACTGAGTAATCCATTCATCTTATTCATGTATTCTATTTTATTCCTTATTACTGTTCCAGAGCCTTTATCAGTTTTCGAAATTATTATATCTTCATTATTTCGCAGCTTTTCTAGGGCTTCTCTGTGTTTCTTGGTCAATAAGCTATTTAGTTTTCGTTTACTATTTATATATTTATAACAACAGTCGACTAGAGTTGATTTAAGACTTTCAACTGCCTCAGCTGACGAGGGTGTCAAGCCTTCAGTCTGTGCAAAGAAGTTTTCGAACTGAACTTGCATATCCATCTTGTTAATTCGAACATGATTGTCACAAAACTTGGTGCCTAGGGATAATACTTGCAAATCTATGTCATCAAGGACAACATCGGTAAAATTATAAACATAGCGACCCGGGTTTGGAGGAAATCGCACTTCCGGAGTTTTTGTTTCCAGGCTTTGTAATAATTTGGCACGTTTCTCTTCCTTTCTCTTGTTAAAAACCTCTTTTACGTAATCCAGGAACGGTTTCTTCAAATGCTCAGGGAGCTCGTCCACAGCATAGAACCTTTCTGTGACATTCTTTGACAATTCCGTGATACATGATTTGAGTGAGTCAATCTGATTCAATGCATGACGCTTGAAAGTCTTACTATTTGGGCGAACTCTGCTGCGTCGTAAAGACTTCCAAAAGGGTTTGGGATATTGGTTTCTCTCAATGCATTACAGAATGAAGTCCAAAGAAATTCTCGCCTCACTGAGCCTTGCGCTATACTTCAGATACTCATTGAGTACCTTTAACGCAAATTTTTGCTCGGAAGATTTCAATAAAGAAAAAATCCCTATTTAAACATTTAGAAAACAGAAAGATTGAGCGAAGAAATATTTACTCTTCAATCAGATCCTCATCTTTGGCTCTACTCTAATATGTGTAGCATTTTAATTACAATACAACAGTTTGCCAATCAAGTGGCGATAAGTTTGTTAACAATAATTAAACAGTGTCAATGGGTTAATAGTTAACGAAGAAAATCAATACAGATTTAAAAGGTGGAAATGGATAGAATAAATTAATTTTACAAGAATGATTTGATGTAAGAACAGAATCGTTATAGAACATAGTTCCATTATTATTATATTGTTGTTCCCTTGGTTTTGCGAGTGGAAATTAGGGTCTGAACATCACATTTCCGCTCTGCCTTGTTATCTGCAGTTTTCCGTAGCTGTTTAAATGACTTCCCATAGTTTCTCATCTCCTCCTCACATGATCTTCTTTGTGTCATCCTCGTATCCACGCCTAGCTCGTCATTCCTTGTTTGGGCTAGAATTCACGGCCTGTTGCACATCACTGCCCAACAGTTTCCTAAACGCGTGCCCGGTCAATCTCCATTTTTACTTCGGAACGGTTTCTTAGCAATTGGTTTTTGGTTGGTTCGTTCCTGGAGATTCTTGTCTCTAATTCTCATTGGCTGGATATTCAATCTTCAGGATGGAGCAAGAGAAAACAACTGTTAGTAAGTGTCTTCGTGATGCAAACGACAAGTTTCCCGACGATATAGAAGAACAGACCAACATGACATTGATGTTGAAAATTCGAATTCTCTTCGTTTTCCATGCACAGTTTAGCAGATTTACAAAGTGATTTGCAGAGTGATGAATTTCAGTCTTTCCTATCCGATCATGACTGATCCTTACATCCTCAATCATGGAGTTATCTGTAGCTCAAAAGATTCTGCTTAGATAAGTGAAGGAAGTTACGTTTTTCAAATTTATTCCGTTAGTAGTGATTAGCACCTGTTGTCGGTTGGTTGTTTGTCTTCATTATCTCCGTCTTCTCCATGTTCTTCTGAAGTCCCTCTTTCTTACATACGATGAGTGTAGGTTTTGACTCTCGCTGAGAACAGCATCACTTACTGACATATTCATTTGACGAGTCCAAAGAAGGATGAAGTCGTCATCACCCTGGATCCTACTATTAGCCAAAATGAACCAAAATAACATTAATTACCTGACTTTTACATTATTTCTCTCTCTAATTAAACAATTTTTGGTTGTTTAGCAGAAAGCTAACTAACTTTTTTTTTCTGGGGTCATGCATATTCAAGTT